TGAGTCCACCATTGACACGGGGCTGTTGGATATTGTGAGGGGGGGCAGCACTGTGGGAAGCTTCCTAAAATCCACGACCATCTCCACAGTCTTAAGGGTGGTAAGCTCAAGATTGTGCTGACTACACCAGACCACCAGCCTCTCAACTTCTCGCTGATGTAGTGAAATAGAGTGATGTACCTATCTAGAGTTGTATTTTAATATACTGTAAGTAGATCACTTGTTATAATCATAAGATGGGCTGTTTTTATCATCAGGGAGTTTAATTAAACACTCTGTATTGACTTTGAGACAAGAAAAGAGAGAGAGTTGGGATCGTTTAAGAATCTTTAATTTCTTAATTATAAATTCTTAACAATCTACCAGGACTAACTCTGTGATGGATGAAAATGGATTTGGATGTTGTGTTGGTGCGTGTGTGTGTGTGTTGTTCAGGATCTTTAGGCTGACGGAGCGTATCTGGTTGTTATGACTACGGACCACGAGGCTTCGGAAGCTGATGACATGAGCAGCTATTTTGCCGTGTACGTACCCTGTGGAGTCTCCCAGGTAGATCAGGAAATGCCAGGTCCTAGGACCTCGGATGTGTACTGGAGCTGGTTGAAGCAGCGGTCACAGCACGTCAAAGCCCGTCTGAAGGGTCGACCCCGGTACCATCGGCAGCGTCAGCTAGTGGTGCTCTTATTTTGAAGGGACGTCGTCTTGTTGGTAAACAACGGAAATCTCCAGTAGCTTCACAGTTCTCAGTTAAAGAAGAAAGCACATCTGGCCAGGCTGTACTTCTCTTTTGATGACGGTGGAACCCCGTAGGACTTCCAACTGAACAGAACTGAAGTCAAAATGGAACTGCTCATAAAATGGCGTTGCCTTGTTTTTATATCTCTGATTTGTTTTAAGTTTCAGTAAACGGGATTGGACACTTTAATTCAACAAGCCAGATTCTCTTACGGCAGCCGAAAGCTCTGACTGGTTGGAACAATGTGTCATGCGTTTCTATGGAGATGAGGGTCAGTCTGTCTGTGCAGTAGTCCTGTTTTCATTAAACACATAAATCATGACATCTTTATTCCACAGATCATTCACTTGATTATTATTGATCAACATCTGTTTCGACTAGCTTTAATCACAAATTAAGTACTTTGATTATTGAAAACCGTTCTTCTTCTCCTTCTGGCTCTTCTCCTGGAATGTAAACAGTCTGAGGAACACCCGACCTTGGCGTTTTCTACACGGGTGTTACTGTGTACAGGGGCAGCTGTGTGGAGCTGAAAATTATGAACTTCATAACGTTACAATGATAAGCAGACTCATCATCATCCTGGATGAGCCCAATGACAGTGGTGTCATCTGCAAATTTCAGGATTTTTACAGCTGAGTCATTAGAGGTGCAGTCATTGGTGTACAATGAAAAGAGCAGTGGAGAAAGGACACACCCCTGTGGTGTACCGGTGCTGATCAACCTTGTGCCAGACGTAACGTTGTTCAACCGCACATGCTGGCTCCTATTTGTCAGGAAGCTGGAAATCCACTGACACACAGCAGGGTAAACAGTGAGCTGAGAGAGCTTTGAGGTGAGGATTTGTGGTATAACGGTGTTAAAAGCAGAGCTAAAATCCACAAACAATATCCTTGCGTAGGTCCTTGGTTGATCAAGATGTTCCAGGATGAAGTGCAGCCCCATGTTAATTGCATCATCCACTGACCTGTTTGCCCTATAGGCAAACTGCAGGGGATCCAGCTGGTGGCCTGTGGTGCTTTTAAGATGGGACAGCACCAAGCGCTCAAAGGACTTCATGACTACTGATGTCAAAGCCACGGGTCTGTAGTCATTCAATTCGGTAGGGGAGGATTTCTTCGGTACTGGGATGATAGTGGAGCTTTTGAAGCATGGTGGAACCTCACACAGCTCCAGCGATCTGTTGAATATCGTTGTGAAGACAGGTGCTAGTTGGACAGCACATGTCCTGAGGCAGGAAGGAGTTACTCCATCTGGGCCTGGTGCCTTCCGTACGATCTGTCTCCTAAAGATGTTGCAGACATCCTCTTCCTTCACAAGGAACGCAGCTTGTGATTTAGAGGAAAGAGGAGTAAGAGTGTCCAGGTGAGGGGTGGCGGCTGCAGCTATGCTGGAGTGGATGGACACAAGCCAACTGTACGCTTAGAGCACATCTTCTTCTGTCACTGGAGCCAGACACTATGTCCCTAAGGTAGAGTGTTTTTGAGTTGCTCTAGCTTTAACTTTTACAGCAAAAGTAAAAGTGTTGCACACCTAGAGCTTCCATGCCCACCACGCCCAGTGGATCTTTGGTCCTTACCGCCGATCCAGTTCAAGTCAGACGACCACAGCTCAACCCGTTTCATCGCCACGGCTCGTCGCTCTCGCCGGACGATTCCAGCGCTCCCGTGCTCCTCGACACCCTCTGCAGCCTCCTAACAGCAAGCCCGTTCCTTTTACTTTCTGGAACGTCGCCACATCTTCGTTTCCCTTCCCCTCCTCACTGCTGAGCCAAGGTGAGGAGCCTGACACATACCAGTAGCTTGTTTATAAAATTACAAATCTTAAAGTTTAAAGACTCGATAGAATGTAGGCCAGCATTATTCATGTATGAGTCAATGAAACAACTGCCTGATAACATTCAAAGGCTGTTTGCAGAAAGAGGGGGGGGGGGGAGGGGTATTAAATATGAATCATTATGCTTGAACAAAACTTAAAAGTATGTGTATTTCAATCTGTGGAGTTACTTTATGGAACCGTATTTAAGAAAAAATCAAACAAAGTATAAATATATTGCAATTAAAAAATGATGCAAAGGACAGATTTTCTCCAGACAGACAAGGGGAAGAATGATTAGTGCAGCTATTGCATCGCATTATAATTAATGTTGTTGTACTCTGATATTTTTAAGTGTGTGTAAATGAATGTAGGGATAGGTGAATAGATATTTCTTTTTGAAGTATTTTAGTTTGTGTTACTTTGATATAAGTTGGGAAGTCTTATATGGTAAGGCCATTGTATTTATTTTTTATTCATTTACTTACTACATTTGTTGTTTTCTTTCATTTTTTCCTTGTGAAATTAATATTATTTAACATTGTTCAAAATAAATACATTTTAAAAAAGGAGTATTCAAACTCCTGACTGCTCTACACGTCTGTGTGAAGCGCTGGGAGTCGGTCAAGTGGCAGCTTGACTGCATTAAGGTTTTTAAGAACATAAAACCTTGAGCTACCATCACCTGATCATCGAGATTCTTGGGAGTCTGACAGCAACCAAAGTCCACAGCAACCTGGCTTGAATTCCCTCCCATCAGCGCTGTTTCAACACGAGCAAACGCCTCCCGGACTTTAGCAAAACACTACAGGAAGAGGAGGCAGAGAGGTTAAAAAACAGCAACAGGTGAAGAAGTCTAAGAAATGTAATGCTTCCTTTACTTTCTCCGAGCCACCAACAGCCTCGTTCATCAGACTCAAGCCGACAGCCTGCAGCAGCGAGAGGGAAACTCAAATCATGACAAAGAATATGACTCAAACATTTGGGATTATTTAATAATAATAATAATAATAATGCATTGAACTTATGTAGCGCTTTTCTAGACACCCAAAGACGCTTTCACACACTCTCACATTCACACACTGCTAGTGATGGTAAGCTACTTGTAGCCACAGCCGCCCTGGGGAGGTCTGACAGAGGCGAGGCTGCCATTTGGCGCCGTCGGCCCCTCTGACCACCACTAACACAGGCAAGTTGGGTGAAGTGTCTTGCCCAAGGACACAACAGCAGGATACCCCTGGCGGGAGCTGAAATCAAACTCATGACCCTCCGATCATGAGGCAACCCGCTCTACCACCTGAGCTACTGCTGCCCTATTTGTGGGAAATGTCTTTGTTTTCCAAAGAAGAAAAACACATTTCATGTTACTCAAAATGAATGAATCGTCTTTTAGAAAGCTGCTTCTTGCATAGAGGCCTACCACTGTTCCTCGGCACCAGTCTCCTGGTTTGACCGATATTCCAGGTTATGAGGGTAACTGATTCCTAGAGAGGCCCTGTGCTGACGCGCTGTACAGCTGATGGTCTGGTGGGCTTTGAAGGTTCATAAAGAGGGTTTACTCAGAGGGAAGGAAAGCAGTTGCAGGAAGTGTTGCTCACTTTGTTGTATCCAGAGAAGTCCAGCTTTGCCTGGACTGGAGCTGAAGAGGCCACAGCGCCATAGACCAGATTGGGAAACTGAAGATGGAGGCAGGAACAAAGAGTCGCCATCAAGCTACTAATACATGCACCGTGTTCCATCTGTGCTATCCGGTCAGGTTGTTTCACTCTAACCCTGGTGTCTCACAGTCAGGTGCAATTTTAAAGTCAGCGCTTCCCAGAACAATCTGTCCTACAAAGGATTCAGTCCTCTACGTCTGTGTTCTAAAAGAGGGCTGATGACAATATGTGTGTTATTAGAAAACATCGACAGACTTGAGGCTTCCACTGGGGATCATGGTGCCGCACCTTTCCTCTAAACCAGGCCGACAGAGCTCCAGAATACGAGCCTCCGAAGCTGATCCAGGTGTTCCTGCAGCTCAGGTTGAAGCTCTGACTGATGTATTGGTGAAAAACCGCCAAGTCAGCAAGCCTGAGACAAGGAGAACACGGTGTTTACACACCTAGAACATGTGCAAGGACATACCATCAGATTTGCACATAGCAACTGGAAAGCGGGGATTTTCTTAGGAAGAACATGCAGAAACACACACTCTGGCTCTCATTAACAGATTATACCAATGCTGCATGTCCGTAGTATGATGCCCCATAAATAAACACAATACACACGGGACACAGCAAACATGAAACTACAAACCCAAAGACAACAAATAAACAACATAACTAACCATCAGAAAGATACACTGATAAATATGCAATTAGACAGAGGAAAAGAGGGGAGAAACACACACACACACACACACACACACACTGATGGAGTGCAAACACTAACGCCTGCTGGCTGCTCAGGACTGCCAGGTTCTCTGCTTTTAGGCCATCTTGGTTGATGCTGTTGCCATAGAAACGGTGTTCCACAGCCAGCAGCAGAGCCCTGTGCTCTTTAGCCATGTCAGCATGATGACCTGCAGACATGTTTACCACTAAAGTGAAGTCAGCAAGAAGCAGTCAACTCCAACGTTGGGACACCTGACTTAGATGATTCTTAACAGCAGGTGATTCAAACACTACTTTATAGACCTTTACGTTATCGTTAACGCCTCTTTCACGCAGTTATTCCACTAGGAATAGGAGGATGGTGTGCACCCGCCTCACAATAAAGGTTAATGAAAGGATTTTCAACAACAGCTGAATCTTTCTACTTAAAAGTGACCAACGTAAACGAGCCAATCAGATTTCAGCTCTAACCTGACTTTTACAAGAACAGGAAGTCCGCTTTTGAATTCTACCAACATTTTTTTCATGATCCCTGTTTTTTAAACTTCCACTCACTAGATTTAGGCAAACAAGGCCTACATGTGTTCACGACACGCGTTCAGGGTCGTTCTATAGTCAGTTCAAGTTCCCTCTGAATGAAACACCTTTGGTAAAAATCTGGGGTGTAAGAATGTGACCTAAAGATGATCATGCAGGTGACGTCTTACCTATAAGAACATCCAACTCATGGATGGGCCCTTCTCCACCAATGAATAGAAACACTGGACCATCAGGGCACTGCCAGTAGGCCTCATTCACAAAGAACCTCTGAAAAACAACACTAGATCACCATGGTGCTTCATTCATGAAATGGTGCTGGATTGAAACAAAGCTGAAAACTGAGATTTGAGATGTTTGATGACTAAAAATGTCAAATAAAATCAGCTCATCAAGTCTACCTTGTGACTTCCTGTTAGAGTTAACCTGCTACCTGAGGGAAGGTGTTGATGTCCTGTCGATTGAAGTGATCCAGCGGCTGATAGATCCAAGATTCTTTCACCTGTGGGAGCAGCTGGTGATCACTGGCAGTCAGGGTCAGAAGATAATCCTGGTTTTTCTGCAGTTGGTGGTCACGTACACAATCCTTGATTTTACTCAAAATCCGTCCTTCCAAACAACCAAAACAAACATGGATTTCACAGTTCCAGCATCGTTCTTTAGACTCACCCTGTCATCAAAATGAGCTACAACCAAATGTGCTGCTGAATCCGCTGTTTTTTCTTTACCTGAAATTAAAACTCACCTGAATCGACCGCACAGAGAAAGAGAAGAAGAATGAAACTGTAAGTTGGTGAAGAAATCATCTTGGTCCACATCAGAGGACTTGATGGATTTCAGGAGCGTGGAATGCTGGAGGATCTTGTCCTTTTCTAGCGACTGGTTGGTGCAGCCCTGCCCATCTCTCAAGCTGCAGCTGAGCATAGTGGTGATCCAAAACCCACTCCTCATTTAAACTGAGTCAGATCCCTGACTGTGCATGTCAAAAAGAAAGTGTATGAGCAGCGTAACGGAGCATCACTCTTGTCATGTAATCAGATCTTTCTGCTTGGTAAGGGCTTTAGCTAGTGGGGTTACCAGACCAGTACAGATTTCAGCAGGCTCTCCCAGTAAAAGGCCTCTAAAAACATTCCTTTATTTTGTTAATTTCCACTTAATAAAGTTGAAAGACACACAAGAGATTGTTTAAAGAAGGAACCAACACCCTGGAGTCACAGGTTCAGAAGGACCAGGGAAGGTCTGGATGGATGTGTGATGGGTGAAACATCAGTTAACTCAGTCAATCATCCACTCATCAAAGTTCAGTCTTTTATAATCAGGGAGTCATGGTTCAAACAAAGGAGTCAAGTTCTCATGGGTTGATGCATACACCCATCCATCCATTCATTCATTCATACATCAGTCTATCCACCTACCCATCCATCAACCCACCCATCCATGCATCTATCCACCCGCCCATTCATTCATTCATTCATTCATTCATCCATCCATCCATCCATCCATCCATCCACCCATCTGTCCATCCATCCACCGATACATCCATCATCTGTCCATCTATCCATCCACCCATCTGTCCATCCATCCATCTACCCATCCATCCATCCATCTACCCATCCACCCATCTGTCCATCCATCCATCCATCTACCCATCCACCCATCTGTCCATCCATCCATCCATCCATCCATCTACCCATCTGTCCATTCATCCATCCACCCACCGATACATCCTTCATCTATCCATCTATCCATCCACCCATATGTCCACCCATCTGTCCATCACCTAACAATCCATTCATTCATTCATTCATTCATTCAACCATCCATAATATAATCTATCAATCCATTCATTTATATATCCATCTATCCATCCACCCATCCATCCATCCATCCATCAATCATCTAACAAACCATTCATTCATTCATTCATTCATTCATGTGTTCATTCATTCATTCATTCATTCATTCATCCATCCATCCATCCATAGTATCATCTATCAATCCATTCATCCATACATCCATCTATGCATCCACCCATCCATCCAACCACCAAACATCCATCCATACATCCATACATACATACATACATCCACCCACCATACATCCATCCATTCACCCATCCACCCATTGCTTCCGCCACCCATCCATCCAACCACCAAACATCCACCCATCCATCCATCCATCCATCAATCAATCCATCAATCCACCTACCCGTCCATACACGTATCCATCAATCCATCCATATATCCTTCCATACATCTTTCCATCCATTAACACATCTATCCATCCACCAATCTATCCACCCACCCACCCATCCATCACTCCATCCATCATCTATCAATCTATTCATTCATCCACCTGTCCATCCATCCACCCATCTACCTACCCGCCAAACATCAACCGACTCATCCATCCATCCAGCCAGCCAGCAATCCATTCCCCCATTAATGCTCTGATTGATTCTTTAAATATATCCATCCATCCACCCATCCACCCATCCACCCACCCACCCATACACTCATCAGCCCACCCATCTATCCATTCATCCATCAAACTATCCATCAATCTATCCACCCACCCACCTATCCATCCATGCATCATATATCAATCCATTCATTCATTCACCCCTTCATCCATCCACCCACCTATCCATCCATCCATTCATCCACCCACCCACCATCAATCCATTCATCCATTCATCCACCCACCCACCCACCATCCATCCATCCATCCATCCATTCATCCACCCACCTATCCATCCATCCATTCATCCATTCATCCATCAAACTATCCATAAATCTATCCACCCACCCACCTATCCATCCATGCATCATATATCAATCCATTCATTCATTCACCCCTTCATCCATCCACCCACCTATCCATCCATCCATTCATCCACCCACCCACCATCAATCCATTCATCCATTCATCCACCCACCCACCATCCATCCATCCATCCATTCATCCACCCACCTATCCATCCATCCATTCATCCATTCATCCATCAAACTATCCATCAATCTATCCACCCACTCACCTATCCATCCATCCATTCATCCACCCACCCACCATACATCCACCCACCTATCCATCCATGCATCATATATCAATCCATTCATTCATTCACCCCTTCATCCATCCACCCACCTATCCATCCATCCATTCATCCACCCACCCACCATTCATCCATCCATCCATTCACCCACCCACCCCCCATCCATCCATCCATCCATCCATCCATCCATCCATTCATCCACCCACCTATCCATCCATCCATTCATCCAGTCATCCACCCACCCACCATCCATCCATTCATCCACCCACCCACCATCCATCCATCCATTCATCCATCCATCCACCCACCCACCATCCATCCATCCATCCATTCATCCACCCACACACCATCCATCCATCCATCCATCCTTTCATCCATCCACTCACCTATCCATCCATCCATCCATCCATTCATCCACCCACCCACCCACCATCCATCCATCCATCCATCCATCCATTCATCCACCCACCCACCATCCATCCATCCATTCATCCATCCACCCACCCACCATCCATCCATCCATCCATCCATCCATTCATCCACCCACCCACCATACATACATCCATCCATCCATTCATCCACCCACCCACCATCCATCCATCCATTCATCCACCCACCCACCATACATCCATCAATTCATCCACCCACCCACCATACATCCATCCATCCATCCATCCATCCATCCATCCATTCATCCACCCACTCACCATACATACATCCATCCATCCATTCATCCACCCACCCACCATACATCCATCAATTCATCCACCCACCCACCATACATCCATCCATCCATTCATCCACCCACCCACCATACATCCATCCATCCATCCATTCATCCACCCACCCACCATACATCCATCCATTCATCCACCCACCCACCATACATCCATACATCCATCCATTCATCCACCCATTGCTTCCTCCATCCATCTATCCATCTACCCATGCACCCATCCATCTTCAACACACACACATTTACAACCCCAATATGAATAGGGGCTTTGTTAGGTACAGATGACACCAAAGACTTTTCATCATGTGGTGGGGAAGCTGCGATTGAACTACCAACCTTTCATTCAGCAGGCCACCACCCTTCTCCCTGAGCCACTGCTGCTCCAGACTGCTGTAACAGATGTCAGCAACAGAAACTGGGAGAATCAAGGTGAAAGTGAAGTTAGGGTCTGGGTGAACCCCCACAGGTTACCATGGCGTCATCCAGTAATCCACTAAGTTGTATTCCCATGGCCATGCTGCTTCCCTAGCTATCGTGTAGTTTCCAAGTCCTAAAAACGACCACTGAGAATCAAGATAACAGTGACTTAAATAAAAATGAGGGTTTTAATTAAAACTACACTTCTTCAGTTTCACTCAAACCTGTTTAAAAAAACTCCTAACCCAGCAAAGCCTTATCCTCGCTTCCTTTTACATAGGGAAACTGAGAACTTTCTAGAAGATGACATGAAGGTCAGATGCTGCTCCTTCTTGCATAAGCAACTGAAATAAGCACTTATAAAGTGAGTCTAACATGTTCCTGCAGCATTGTCACTTAGACTCATATTACTGTTTTGCATGGCTGAAGATCTTCTTAAGGACTTTTCTCTGCAACATTTGTAAAAACCTGAATGTGATGATCTTCAGAACCATGGTATGTTACCACAAATAGCACCACATCTGGAGCTAACGTTAAGCTGGTTGGTTCATATTTTTTGTCTTGCACCTTAAAATCAATATTTGAGTGGAAACAAAATAATCTGTACTGCATAAACCTGAAAAACTAAGCTGACTTGTCATGATGCTTCAGAAAAAACCACAACTCATATCTTGTCACATGGACTTCCTGTTCTACCCACTCCTCACTTCACACAGACAGAAGCAAAGAGAGGATGTCCTCAGCTGGGGTTCTGCTGAAACCAGACTAACGGAACAACTGCTCTCGTCTCCAGGGAGAAAAAGCGAAGTTCTTTGCGGTGGTTTTTGGATGCATTTTGGTGCTCGGTCTACCTCTCCATGCCCTGTCACTGTGGATTCTGCTTTGTCACCATGGCGTGAGATCGCCCAACGCCTTGTTCATGATCAACCTGGCCCTCTCAGACCTGCTGCTTATCATCTTCCTACCAATGAGAGTCTACTTTTACGCCACGGGTATCTGGCCTCTGAGCAGCATAGCTTGCCTTGTGACCACCATGCTGTTTCGTGACAACATCCGCTCAAGCTCCATCTTCATCACCTTCATCAGCGTCGAACCACGTCCAAAGCCATGTTTGGCTGTATGTGTTGGTGCTGAACATCCCAGAGAGCGTGAATGTTTTAAAGCATCTGCACAGCCAAAACGAGACCACTTGTTTTGAATCTGTTCAGTCTAAGGCTGTGAAGAGATCAGCAGTGACCTACATCCACACCGGGCTGACGTTCACCATGCTCTTGGTCAACATCGGCTGCACTGTCGTGGTGTTTAGGACCCTACGAGGCCTAAACGTTGTTGAGCTTTGCAGTGAATCTGCAAAGGTCAACAACGAGGTGAACATCATGGTGATTTTTGCTATGAGCTTGGTGATGTTCATCATGAGCTTCCTGCCTTTATCACTTGGTTCTCTGACGATGAGGGGCTCTGATGTGACTCCGATAATATGTCTAGCTTCTGTCAACTGCTGCTTGGACCCGTTGTTGCATTACTTTTCCCTCGATGCCTTCTGGAGGAAGAAAGAGGACATGGATGTGAGACAAGAGCAGGGGACAGATGAGACAAGACTGTCTAAAGGTTTTATCTGAGCAGGGACTTCGAGGATGAAGCAGCCATGTACATTTCTTCTCTTAAATCCAGTTTTTCTGAACAGCATCGTAACTTCAGACGGACGAGGACAGAGTGTTATTATTCTCAGAGAAAGGAAGAAGTTAGTTTCCTATAAACTGTGTGTGTGTGTGTGTGTGTGTGTGTGTGTGTGTGTGTGTGTGTGTGTGTGTGTGTGTGTGTGTGTGTGTGTGTGTGTGTGTGTGTGTGTGTGTGTGTGTGTGGGTGTTATTATTCTCAGAGAAAGGAAGAAGTTAGTTTCCTATAAACTGTGTGTGTGTGTGTGTGTGTGTGTGTGTGTGTGTGTGTGTGTGTGTGTGTGTGTGTGTGTGTGTTATTATTCTCAGAGAAAGGAAGAAGTTAG